GGTAACCAATATGAAGATATGCTTTTATTTTCATAATCTTGTCTTTGCTCAATTATTGACGAAGCCATTTTCTGCGGTAAAAGTTCTTTTATTATCAAGTAGAAATTTATATCAATAAACAAAATAGAGTTCAACCGAATAAATTTGCTAATCACTATACATATATTATTAATTAATTACTATTAAATCTAAATTAATATTAATTAATTAATGTTAAATTTAAAAAAATCTATCATGACAAAAAGTGTGACATCATTAAAATAAAAATTTGTTATGGATTGCTTACGTGATGTAAAAAATTTTATAACACTGTATTATTGTAAAATTACCTAATTTTTGGTTTTTTAATAAGTCCGGTACATACGAAGAACAGATAAATAGTTGTAAATTTAATCGATGACTTTCCGTTACTCAATACACATAATTCTTCCGATAAAGAGTACATAATTGCTGGCTATATGTCAATGTATTAAAAAAACATATTTATTATATTTTCATACGCACATTCAAATTATGTAATATATAAATATATGCTTATATAAACAATCCATATACATATATACATGTCTGTCTGTCTGTCTGTATATATTGTATGTATACGATTTAACGTGATTGTCAAGGAAATCATTGTGTATAATAAAAAAATAATTATAATTATAATTACATATATACACATATATATATATGTATATATATATATATATATATATGTAATTATAATTATTTTTTTATTATCCATACATATAGACAGACATATATGTATATGGATTGTTTCATTTTAATTAAATTGATACACTAATATATCTCAAGAATGAGATGTGAGATTGAAAAAAATTTCAGATAAAGTTATATCAATATCGAGGAGAACATAAAATTTTTTATTTAATTTAGTTTAGATTTATTATAGTTTAAACTTGGCATTGTCAGATCAGGTCATTGAACTTTTTAAATGGAACCACCATTTTTCGTTATACATTCTTGTAGTCTTTTATCTCAAGAACTTTTCAAAACATTATAAAATATATATTTTTTTATAAAGTGTATTTCTCGAATTATAAGAATCAGTTGAACATCTTGAGTAATGCCGACGATATTGTAACTTTCAAGCTTTATAATTGTGTAAATGAAAATGAAACACCCTGTACGCACGCACGCACACACATACACACACGCACACACCCACACGCACACACACGTCCCTTTCTCTATAATCGTAAAATATGTAGTTGAATTACCTGCGAATTTTGAAGGGCAGTAAACCGTTCCATAAGGATTGGTAAAGAGTCCTGTTTCTGATGAAATCATTACGATATGACCGTGATCCTTTTTGATCATATTAGATAAGAATGTCTAAAAGCATAATATTTGTTTGCAAAAATTGAAAAGCTTAATTATATGTATAATTGTTTAAACCGCTTAGTACACTTTATTTGTGAACAAATTAATATAATATATTCAAAAATAAAGTCAATTATATTAATAAAAAGTTTTTCATGCATATGTATTTTCATGAATATGTATAAATATATATAATCATATATAAATATTTATAAACATGTATAATCATATATGAAATATGTCCATACATGTTCATACATCCCTCTTCCTTTTGTAAAATTACTTTTTAGTAGAAGTAATAATAGTAATGTGAAAACATTAAAAATAATTAAAGGGATAATTTTCGCATTGTTCGTTTCAGAAAAGAACAAGTTTAGAAAAAAATTGCTCGTACACAATTATGCACAACTTTATGTATAATTATACATAAGTAATTTTTTTACATTTCTTTAAACTTTTTTCTAAAATAAATATTATAAAAATTATCCTTGTGTATGAACATGTACATATTTCGTATATGATTATACATGTTTATGAATGTAATATTTATGTATGTTTATACATATTCACTAAAAATTTTTTATAGTAATAGTAATTATCTCCAGGATAGTAATTATTTCTTGTAATTTATAATTTCGATATCTTGAATATATTACTTACCCAATAATGCACTGTCACAGTGATGACGTCTATGACTCGTGATCAATTTCAGGATTTTGATTCAAAAATGATTTAGCAAACACTATATCACTTATTAATCAAGATAGTAACATCATCTACTTCTTCTTTTACTTTTTTGGCTACTTTTAAAACTTCTTCCCTATCTGCTACATTACATTATCTGTAAAACGTAAAGATTTTATTTAGAATTTTAATTAGATAAATTTAATAGGTGATTACATATATTTATGAATAGAACAGATATTTACATATGAATTCAAATAGTTTCTTCATTCCGAATATTGTTATATACAAACTTACCGATGCATACACAGAATCTCTTCTCATTGTTTAAATATCTTCCACTTTTCATTATTAGTTCTTCACTGATGTCCCAACATACTATCGTTGCTCCTAATGAAGCATAACTAATCGCTAATTCCTTTCCAATATGATCTGCACTCGTTATCTGTAATATAAAATAATATTACATACATATAAAATACAATATAAATAATAAATAATAAATAATAATTATAATTTTATAAATTACCCTTTATAATTTTTTGTTTAAAAGCATAATATTAAATAGCATAATATTAAACTTTCATGTTGTATTTTAAATCCAGCAAACGAGAATGGATTGAAATGAATTGAAATAGATTTTCAGATTTTCAGATATATTGATTCACGAATGTTAAAATGAATGCTTTTCAATCCTGAATGCATTTTTATTCATTTATAGGAATTACATGAAGCATATCTCTATGCCTTTCAATCTAAAAATAATATTAGCTTTTTCTGTGCACAACACACATTGTGAATACTTTCAATTCAAAATTTTGAATAAGAAATGCAGTTTTTCAATCCAATTGCATCCAATTGAATCCAATTAAATCCAAAAAAAATATTCGCTTAAATATTTAAAATACGCATTTGAATAGAAAAAAATTTTAATCCATTGTCGTTTGCTGGGAAGGAAATAATAAACTGTTGCTCAAGAAAATGCGATAAAAACAAATGATTCGTTAAATGGAACGAGATTAGACGTCTATACGAATATATACATCTTTCTATCTATGCTTATGTAATTTAAGGTAATATTTATTCATTGTAATAAAAAAGATTAACATACATATAATTACACAGTAAATTTAACAAATAGGATTAGTAAATCGCACAAATTGATCATGTACTCAATATGACTTACATGCTACGCACTTTTTCTTAAAATTTTCACAACACTTACTAAATATTTGAAAAAATTTTTAAAAATTACAAAATTTAGGTAAGTCATATAGGATTACGATTGCTGATTGTTGATTCTATTTTAGTCAATTATAATGCAATAAATGCGTTATTAATTGTTATGAGTTATTAATTGTTATGTGCGAAAATAGAAAATAGAACCGACAACCATAACCGATAATCTGTAATGTGATAATATGGCTATAAGTAAGTCATATCCGATTATCTTATATTTTGTTATAACTACACATATTAAGATTATTATACATACCAAAATGATTTCACCATGCTCTTTTTTTTGTTGATAATTAATCTATATATATATATATATA